TTCTTTTTCATATTGAAATTTGCATTCTTTTATGGCATTTTTTTTACTTTTATCCTGCAATAACTTGGTTTCACTAACTATTGAATTTAAATACTCATTTATATCAATTATCAAAATAGATTCTGATGCAGATTTGAGTGTATAAATCTTACCAAGTGTCTATGTATATAAATAATTTAGTGCCTTTTTGTATTAAATAAAATGGTTTTTTTCTTCGGGATGGGGATTTTCTGCGTATCTTTCAATACAGTTTATTAACAACTGATAGATAGAAAGAAAATCAATGTCATTTACTTCATTTTTTAATTTATGAAATAGGTTTTCCAAATTTTGAAACTTATAACTCAACCCTAGTGTAGTGTCATTTAGAAGTTTAATTTTGTAATAATTATTTAATTGCTTATTGTCTAACTGGTTAAAAAACTTTGCTAAAGAATCATTTTTAAGATCATCATTTCTTAAAAGATTAAAAACTTTTTCCTGGCATGAATATGAAATTATAGCTATATGTATTGGTTTCCAGCCATTTTTATTTACTGTGTTAATGTCTGCACCATTTTCTATTAAAATCTAAATAATCTCAATATGACCATTCCACACAGCTTCATATAATGCTGTCTTATCATTTTTATCAATAGCTTTAACTAAATTAATATTATTTTTTATTAAATAATTTACAGTTTCTTTATGACCTTCAAATACAGCCCAATGTAGTACTATACCTATTTTCTAACAAAAACTTGATAATTTTAATATCTACTTTTCCTCAACATAGTGTAATATTGGACTGTGACAAGCTTTTTCTTTTTATAGTAACTTAACAACATTTTCATAATTTCTCTCTGCAGCAAAATGAACAAGATTTAAATTTGGTTTGTTATCAGCTTCAGCTTCTACTTCTAATAAAAATTTGACTATTTCCGTGTATCTATACTCTGCAGCCCAATATAATGCTGTTTTACCATCTTCATCATGAATATTAATATCACAATTTTGTTGCAACAAAGTTCTAACAGATCTTATGTCTCCAATAACAGCAGAAATATGTAATAATATCCAACCATTCTGCGTTGCAAGCCACTTTTGAACATAATTTTTGCTACAGTCATCAGGGATTGCCTGGAGATTGGTGCAGTGAGGAAGGTTTTTTACAAAAAAGTTACATAAATTGACAATTCGAGAGGCTTTGGGTTTAACTATTTTACAATGTCTTTCAATTTTTGCATCAAGAATATTACAAAGCATGGATAATTCCCTTTTCAGAATATTAAAAAATCCAGCAATCTCAGTTATGGCATAGATAAAATTTTCAATAGATTGTACTAAATGTTCTCTAATACAATATGCTGCTAAATATTCCTCTTCTATTTCTGCCTTAATAATAATTATTACTGATAA